GTATACGGAGGCTGCTGCAGGGGTTGCAGAACTCAGCCAAGTCTCCAGTAAGATCAAATATTTTCTCCTACAAGGTATATACGTGAGTTCTTCATGCCAAGGACATTTTCAAACCCTCAAAGGTCCAACTCCAGAGCACCAAAAAGAAAAAAAAACCCAACCTTAGAGTGCCTGCTTTGTATAACTAGTGATATCTCAAGTGCTTCTCGATGTATCATAAAACAGCATTCATGGCCTGTGTAAATACACTTCTGTACAGCATTAACTGGGACCCATTTCTGCAGGGGAGGGGCAGTGAAGGTATTACTAGACCTAAGAATAAATGTATGCATCCTTATACAGGGCCAAATTCAAAGCCACTGTAGTTCCCCCTTGTGTAAATTAATTTCTCTCTTTAGTTTTAGACTCAGACTTAATTACACCAGCATTCTCATTATAGCTGAAGGTTGCACGAAGAAATCTGTGGGGGAAAGTACACTGAGAAAAGTCAGTGATACTGACGTTTCATATCCACGCAGCCTTGACTGTAAGTGGCTTTTCTTGCTACACTCCCAGGAGTTACACCTGTAAGCACTAAGATGATAGCTCGAGTTGCAAACAGTTTATATTCTGTGTCGTTCCTGATCTGACAGGAGCGGATAATAGCTCACAAAGCAACGCAGATGAAGATTACCCAACACATTAGAACCATCAGAAAGATGGAAGCATAAAACGGGAGTGAAATGGAAGAAGTAACAGCTTTCAACTCAACTGCAGTGCTTCTCTTGAGAACTGTTATACCAAGCCCCTAGCAACAAAACCAGCTTTCATTAGAGCCGTGGCTTTCCCCAGACAAAACAAACAAACCAACCAAAAAAACCCACACTGGATGAAACCACTGGAAAACTGACTCCAAGGTCTTCAGAGAATATAATGGCTTCAAGCTGGCTTTCACAGTGGAAGGTGCATCAGCCTTTCAGAAGGGTTCCTGCTCCCACAGCTCAGTATCTTCTCCAGTACCGCTCTAGGACTACTGAACCAGCAGGCTTTGCATTTCCTGATCAAACGTATACTTAAATAAGATGACTAGTGGGAAACACACATACCTAATCTCTCATCACACATGTTTATTAACTTGGGTAATGCTTACATAGTCCATAACTACGAAGTAAACAAGGACCGGTGCTTCCCAGCTTACCAAAACAATGACTGCTGTATGTTCCTAGGAAAAAGAGGGGGCTTTCTCCCTCTCAAAAAACACAATGAAAAGGGACCAAGTCACAAATCTCTTCTAGCTATTGCAAATAAAACAGCTAAGCAGCTGAACAGATTGCCATCTTTTCTGCGTGTAATTCTTCAGTTTTACATTCTGTTCACCTTTCTACATTCCCTTTCTGTTTTCTTCCAGAAATACGGGGTCATATTGTCCCCAGTCCTCTCACTGCTACAAGTGTCCCGGGCAAAACAGGCAAGATATGGTGTAAGCTACAACCCATCAAAATTTATCACAGGAAAATAAAGGTTAGTTGAAGGAGCGATAGAATTCATCTTCTGTGTGGAGCCAACTGCTCTATCTGCAACGCTTTAGCCCTAGCTGGCTCACAAGCAAGGAAACGCACAGTTTAACACAGGCTTGCAAGATACAAGGGAGGGGAGAAAAAAAATAAAGTACCCACCAACTGAAGCTGACACACAGAGATCAGCTCCTCCCACACCACGCCAAAGAAATCTGGTTTGACTCTTTCTTAGCTGTGCACTGCAGTGCAAGATAATTTCGGATGGAAAGTCAGGAGAGTGCTCTATCGAACTGCTTTTTGACACTGCCAGGCTCAACACCAGGGTCACTGGGACTTATTTGCAGGGGCAGAGAGATGGCTTTGGGAAGAAAAACAAAGAATTCACCAATCCATTATTTTAATGTTTCTCAACTTGGTGACTACAAACTTTCTAACAGCCTTACAGAATTTAAGCTGCCTGGAAACAGGGTTGTCTCCCCTGGTCATTTGCCACAGACCCTTTAGAAGTAATCCACAACCACAAGTTGAAAACAAATCGTGGATAGGTAAGAGGTAACATTTTAGGCTATGTTTCCACAGGTAAAGAAGATGTCTGAGCTCCCATAATAAAGAAAATTACCCCTCTCCTCTCGTCTCCTACCTCTCTTTTGAAGCTGAACTCCACGCTGCCTTGAGCAGGAGCTTTGTAAAGCGTAATTGAAGGGACCAGGCATACTGAGCGTGCTACAGGAGAAATACTCCCCCTCAGAGCTACCGTACCAGAGCAGTAACACTCAGTCCTTAACCTTGAGGCCCAAAAGAAAAAGAAAGCAATAAAAGTTCCTCTCATTAGTTTAAGGTTGTCCCATTATGCAAGGCAGCCACAGCCCCCCTGAAGCAGTTTTTTTAACACCTACAGACAGTAAAATATCCCTGGCTTTAATTATGGACAAACACTAATACCTCAGCCAGGTTATAAACTTCTGAGAACCAGAAGAGCAACCAAAAATGGCCAGAAATAAATGCCCCTGCTTCCCTAGTCCCCTTTCACCCCGTCCTGCTCCCTTTATCATTTGAAGTATCATTAACCTTGCAAGGCAAGCATTTTTGCAACAAGCACCTTTCCTTACTGCACTGAAACATTCACCAGGAAGTTCATGCTGAAATATTACAGGATTGTGATCCTTAAAAGCCTTAGATGCTCTGCCATTATGATTCCTGGGAAAGTTTAATAAAAACCCAAAGAAAGGTCACAGTAAACTTAGACACACTAAAGTTCACTCAGAAGTGCAAAATCACTCAAATTAAGAGCTTGGCATCCTGTCTGCAGACCTGGCTAGTAACTGCAAGAAAAGAAATAATAACTACTAGAAATGAGAATTCACTGAATCCTGACTTTGGTATGCTATCAGTGTCAGCAGACCAGCCCCTGGAGCTGTGGATACCCCAGCTACACTAGCCCATTCTGTGCTAACTCTTCTGGCAATCAGCAAGTGCTCGGAGCATTCAGGCGATTAAATAATATAGTGTGAGTCAAGAGCCAACTCTGCCTCCTGCCAAGTGATCTTTCTGGATGATCAGCACAAACTCCCCGCAGTAAGTCTGCACGAAGACCAGCACTCAGCTGGTAACACAGCAAGCCGCGTAATCAGTACTAGCACGGTCTGTAACTCCTGCAGAAAACCTCAGAACCAGGGGACGTTATCAAACTCTCCTCCAGGAGGCAGCTCCAACACAGCAAATGAAATGTAAAATGTTTCTCGCATCTCTGAACCAGCTTTCATTAAACTCGACACAAGGCAAAGGCCAGGAGGAGCGCAGCTCACAGTTCCCAGGAGGACAAGTACAGGTGTTCCCCTCCTCCTGGTTACTTCTTGTCACGCACTGAACAGCATGACCTGGAGATGCATCAGCCGAAACCCAGCCAGCACAGACACCAGCCTTTTCTAAGCTGTCTGAGGAACCACTCCAGGGGACAAAGTTCCTACAGCTTCTGTGCATGCAAAATTATACTGACTGACCACAAAGGTGGTACTTACAAACCGAAGTCACTGCATTTTTCCTCTTTAAATACGGGGTTTCACCCCTTATTAGTCAATCCCAGTACCCTTAATCACTTCTCTTTGTATCGACTAGCTCCTCTGTGTTTGCTTTCTCTGCTCCTGCTTTCTCACGTTAGTCATTCACTCTCTACGTACTCACAGAGGTGGCTTTAAAGTATGTCAACACCGCTTACAAAGGCACACATTAAAAGATTTGTTAATACACTACCAAAACATTCTAATACAGTAGCCTGTAGCACCTTTGCTGAACATTTTCATATATATACACATATATACAGATATATATACACATATATACAGATATATATACACATACACATATACATAGAGATGTACATAGACATAGAGATACACTGACTTCAGCTGATAATTACAAGAGGGGAAGCTGCTAGCATAGGCCTGGCTTAAACTTCTATACCAGGTAGAAATAAATACCGTCACTTCCACATTCTCTGGCTTCCCACACCATTGCAACGTTAAAAGATTTAGCATTACCGCACGCCGCAGAGCTTCTTTGCTCATCCTTCTATTTAATGCGGTCACGGGCAGATATTTTACTACACCCAGCTGGGTGCTAGGAGAGATCATCAACCCAACACGCTTGCCAGTGACGCCACGCATTTGGCAGACCAGGCCATGTTCAATTTGTTTTGTATGAAAATCAACTGCATTTGAGATAATACAACAGACCACATCTGCTCACAGCCTGCTTCCTACCTTATCTACAGAACATCCATGCATTTAATTGCTTCAATAAAAGCCACAGAAATTTCTGCAGAGTCCACTCCCCCCCCAGTTTATGATATTTATGTACCTTTACCTTATAGATTTACATGACACGAACCACAATTGAATCCACTTGCAGCACTTATAATCATAGTGGTTTCTTGGAACT